TTACATTTTGTTTTGTTATTACCTATACTTTCATGGGTTAATTTTTTTGAAGATACATTTCATCATTGCTAACAACAAGATATTTTTAAAAAAAGTACGAATTTCTTGTATATACCGGGAGAAACTGTATTGATGGCGCTGGCATAGCGACTGACTTTGAAACACAAAGTCACTGTTTTGTTTATATCTTTCGAACAAAGTGTCTTACCTTTCCAAAAATTTGGAATTGATATCATTATTGATTATACTTTACACTGTTGAAATATAAAAAAAATCAAAAAAGTCCAAATTGCAAAAAAATATTGTTTTTTTCAAAAAATGAATTTTTTTTTGTTAAAAACAAAAAATTTTACATTTTAATGTTGATTTTCTTAAAATTTGAGAAAAATTACTTCAAGAAAGTGTATTTAAATATTTTTGTTGTTGGATGGCAATACGTTAAAAAATTTCTTGCAAAGTCGTGCGCGCAAANAGAGCTTTTTATTCACTTTACTTTTTTGGGATTTTATGAACTGAAAAATGACAATTTTCGTGAGAATGACCCATATACGGTTTTCGAAATAAATTTTGTTTGAAATAAAAGGTTGTTCATTTTTGGTAATTAATTCAATTAAATAATACTAATTTAATAAATATTTAACTTATCATTAAAATTCAGATAAATAATCATTTAGTCGCTTAAATTATATTAATTTTATTCACTCATTGTCAAGAGTTTGAAAGACGAATAAAAAAATGTTTTTAAATTCAAACTTATAAAATCATTATTAGTTTTTCTCAATAAAATTAACTTATTAAATTTGAAAGAGATGGTGCCACGTTATTTAAACATGTGCTGAGAAAACTCAAAGAAAATATTTTTTTCTCGTAATTTTAGAGTTTAAAAATTAGTTCGATTTAGATTTTAAAAATAAATTTAATGTGTAATAAATGAAAGTTTCAGAAATTACTTTTTGACCTAAATTCTTCAAGTCAAACTTATAAAATCATTATTAGTTTTTCTCAATAAAATTAATTTATTAAATTTGAAAGAGATGGCGCCACGTTATTTAAACATGTGCTGAGAAAACTCAAAGAAAATATTTTTTTCTCGTAATTTTAGAGTTTAAAAATTAGTTCGATTTAGATTTTAAAAATAAATTTAATGAGTAATAAATGAAAGTTTCAGAAATTACTTTTTGACCTAAATTCTCAATTCGCTTTGAAGATCAAATATTTTTCTAAATATTTTGTTTTCAATTTATTAAAATTTAGCACTTTTAAATCATGTATGTCCTACTACTTAGACTAATTAATATTTATGCTAGTTGTTTTTAACAAATATTTTAAAGATGAGTTTTTGTGTGAAATCAATACCCGCAAATTATACATCAGATTTATCAAATTAATTGAATACGGGTTGAATATATTTATTTATATATAATTTAAAAAATATGGAGAAGACATAGAAAGAAGAAAACAATAAAAAGAGAAAAATATTTTTTTTTTTTTTTTAAACTTAATTTTGTTAAATGTTATTAAAAAAAACTAGCTGGCTACTTTGCATCTATTTAAAGAAAGAAAGTCAAAAATATAAAACAGATTTACGTTTTTAACAAAATAATTTTATATGATTTTTATTTATATACACTTCTTGAAATCGTATTAAACCATTTTCAAAAATTTCCGAAATTTTTATTTCTTATTTTGAAGAATGCAAAAACATCCAAAGTTGAAACTTACCATCGCATCTCAATTTACAGGGTGTTCCGTAATGTAAAGAAAATGGGTTATCTAAATTAGATTCATTACTAAAATGGGATTTTTTATCTAAAAAATCGGAACAAAATGGTAAGCGCATTGGAGTTCAAAAATTAATATTCAAGTAGGGGCAAAAACATTATTAAAATTTTACAAAATACAGTAGAATACAGTAGAAGAACATAATTATAGTCAATAAACTCGACTTGGTTCTCTCACGGTCAAATTTCCTGTGCTATAAATCGTCAGATGTCGATAAAGCGTATTTGTTTTGTTTTTTTCTCGCCTAAATATTCAGTTGTTTTCATTTTTGATATTGATCCTAAATACATAGTCTTTTCAGAATACCCATGTTCTTTTCTAATAAATTCATTTCAAAATCATGCGTTTTTAATTATCTAACGCTCTGCAACTAAGGAAAATTAAAAAAAAGTCATAATTTGGAGCCTTACACTTGAAGCAATGCGATGATTTTAAACTATATATATAATCTTGCCTTCAAGAATTATCTGGGCTTAAGAACAGACAAATAACTTGAATATTTTAAAAGTTATTAAACTTTCTTAAAAATCCCCAATTTAGAGACATTTTTTCCCTAGATAAAAATTATCAAAATCACTGTCGTGTTCTCAGTTTTTGCAAATTTTTAAGAGACCATGTAATGCAGCACTGGAGTATTATCTTCACTCTAAAAAGTGAATATAATATAGAACAGTATACTCTTAATATCTCTTATGTCAAAAAAATATTTTCCCCCTTAACATTATAAATGCACCTAATGTTAATTTGAATTCCTATGTCGAAGAGTTTCTCCTCAAAACCTTGTTATGTCAAAGTTTTTTTGAAATAGAAAATGAATTTTTTCGGAAAAATTTCGAAGTTTAATGTACACCAATTCTTTTCGATTTAATGCATAATAAATTTTGTCTTACTTTTTAAAATAGAATTATTTTTTTTTGTATTTAGACTTATAATCAACTATCGTAACATACATATTTAATGGTAGTTATTCTTATGTTTCATTTTAAAATATATTTCTTCACTTTTTAGAACTTATTTAGTTCTGAACTTGTTATCTCGAAACTTTTTCAGCATCTCTTGAACTTTGAGATATCGAGAGTATATTGTAACTTGATTTGATGTCAAGGCAAAATACTCCAGTATACGAAGCAGACCATAAATACTCCAGTATACGAAGCAATAAATACTCCAGTTTACGAAGCAGTAAATACTCCAGTATACGAAGCAGACCATAAATACTCCAGTATTCCGAAGCAGATCATAAATACTCCAGTATACGAAGCAGACCATATTTAAATTTAAATCCACATCAAAATTAAGGTTCTAGAAATTATTACAATTTCTAGTTCTATTTTGTTAAAACCTTTGTTTATAAGTCTCAGTGTGTCGACAATCAAAATACAGATAGAATTCGGATTCTGTATGCTTTTAAAAACTTGGTAATGTAAAATTTATTTACATATATATACTTAACCTAATTCGACAATTAAAGACATAATTTTTGTAAAAATAAAATTGAAAATAGTAAAAAAGTAACACTTTGTTTACCTTAAGAAGCAACAAAAGCATATAATAAATAACTACAATACAGAACGATTAACGGCAATATAGACTTTGATCACTTAACACGCATCAATTAAATATATATTTTGAGATTTCAAAACTTACCCATGTAACTTTAGCCGGTATAACTTGAATTTTTTCGATAACAAATCCTTAAAAAGCAAGATATCAGATAAAGTCATCACTAAATCACACTTTTCGAGCAAATCACGAAATGCACAAAAAGTTTTAAGATAACCACAAGGAAAATGTGTAACAAGGTAATGAAACTTTCAGCTGTTACGTTTAATTCACACCTTTGTAATCGATTAAACTTGTGGATCTTTTTATAAGCGGCTGTAAGTTGTAACTTTTTGATCTGCACTGCTTATATGAATTATTTTGAAACACTCATAATAATGATTTAATGTCTGAATACATTTCTAATTCTATGACGTTTTCAGTTTCAAATTGAACAAAATATTACATTATTTTTTTCATGTTTAATCTACTTGAAAAACTACTAATTAATATATTGTTTTTCTTTTAATTTTTAGTCTTTTAGTTTATTTATGCAAAATTACAAACGAAAAAAAAAACTAAAATTCCGATTAGTAACGTATTTTGCTTGTACCATATAAGAAACAATGCTGATTTTCATAGACACAAAAGCTTTAGCTTTAGTTGACATTTGAGATTTCTAACTAGTATGGAAAGTGGCCGAAATTTCGATTGATGATATTTGATGAGAAAAAGAAAATGACAATCAGGAAATGTAGCAATGGCACCCTAGTAAAGGCCTCTAGCAAGAAGTTTAAAATTTAGGCACTCTACCTAGTCGCAAAGTGGTTGAAATTTGGAGAGACGATAAATTACTCTCAGCGATAAGTACTGCTTGAGGCTGTCCCCCGCACTTATAATAATGATAAATTTAATTCCGCACCCGACTCGTACCAACCACAGGTCTGACGTAAAAATATCCCCAGTAGTAGACGGATCCTGGGTAATAGTCCCCTTGCCACCGGGCTAACCGTGGGAGGCTGACTAGTTCTATCAAAAAGTCCTCCACGAAGGCATAGTTTCACCCAATGCCTGATCCAGGAGTTCCCTTGTCTTCTGGATTGGGCTCAAAAGTACGAGGCTGCGGAGTTGAACATTAGCAGTCGTGAACCCAAAATTGGGTTGGCGACGGTTAAGAAATAAAATAAAATTAACCTACATGGCTTTTGCTAGCGTTATTATTATTATTTTTCTTTATTTTTTTCATTTATTAACTCACATTCTTAAAAACTTTAAAAGCAGGCAGTAAAATATATATACATATATATATATATATATATATTTTTTTTTGTCGACTAAGAAACAAATTCGCTTTCACGCTTTCAAATTGCAGCCAATCAGATCAGAAAATAAAACTTTACTTTCGAAACGAATTCAATTTTTATGCGAGCTTTGTTCAAACCGCGTGGAGAGTAAATCTTGAAATAAACAGTGCATCATTTTAGGATTTTTTTTTTTAATTTAAAAAATATAATAATTTTCATGACTTATTATTATTTTTTGAGGTCTACCAGAAATAATAGGAAATCACAGCCTACATAACAGGTTTTAATTTTAAAGATAGCACAATCATAATCAGGTTGACACAATCATAATCAGACTTCACTGATGAATCACAAAAACAAATATTTTGCTCGTATGAAAGAAAAATTCCATAAATCCATTTAATTCACAATCAATTCGTATATCTGAAATATAAAGAGACTATAAAATGGTATTCCTTTTATTTTCAAATTTAAAAAGAAATTGTTTTTGATTTATTAATGTTTAGGTAGTTTTAAATCAAAAATTTGATTTTTTTTCCTTCCTACTACAATCAATTTGAGATCAATTTACTGGGTTCTAATTCGTTACTATGGTTGTATTGAAATGAATTTCGTACACTAAAATCGTAATCAATCATTGTAGAAATTTAAAGGTTTTTTTTTTTTAAACACGTGGTTTTTTGGTGTTGTACAAGAAAATTCAAATTAAATTTCCACTCCAAAATAAAATTTCTAACAAATTTCAATGTTTTAACAAAAATAACAACTTATAATTTATAATAATAAGTAGAAGAATTAATGATAATGTTAATAATATAATATTAATAATAGTATTGATTATGGAGTTGAGAATTATAATATAATTCATAATTGTAATAATAAATTATTTACTTCGATTTTGTTTTTTTTCCCCTTCTCTTCAAAGTTTAAATCTTTAAACACAAGAAGAAAAAAAAATTTTAAATATTCTAATAATTTGGGTTGATTTTCTCACTAACAAAAAGGTTTACATATGCTAGAATAAAGCTTTTATAGATCTAAAATAGACAAATTAGGTGGACTAAATCACTTTACTCGTAGTTATGTTCGGTTGAAATAATGCTCGGTCGAAAACTGTTCAATCAAAATATTGTTTAATCGAAATAATGTTCAATCGAAATATTGTTTAATCGAAATAATGTTCAATCGAAAAACCGTTCAATGTCCAATCGGAAAAATATGTAGAATTCATATCAAATATAAAATAACTTTTAATTAGGACTTTATACAAAATAAGTATCGTTTTCTTTGGTTTTCTTTACACAACCATTTACGGCAGAAGATCTAAGTTTCTTTTAGTTTGGATAAACTTGTGTCCAAACTAAAAGCGTGATTTAAAAAATAGTTTTCTATTAAATTTTACAAAAATTTATTTAGGCAACTGTATTATCTTTCTTAATCTTAATCTACAATCAAAAAACTGTTCAATCTAAAAAATGTGCCGACTTTATATGAATATAAATTAACTTTATGACTTTAAATTAGGAGTTATAATAAAATAAGTATGGTGTTCGTTTCTTTTCTTTGATAACTTACAAATTTTCATTTACGTTAACAATGATAATTTCATAAAAATATTCCTCGTCTTATAAACAAAATTACTTTGTCTAATTACTTTGTTCGCAAGTGAAGTTTTGCTACACATCGGGTTGGTCAATGCAATGAGGTAACTACGTTTTGGGGCGACTAGTGAGAACGTAAATTAACGTAAAATTGAGCATATATATTATATAAATAAAAGTACCGATTGAAATGCGATACATTTATAATAGGGAAGCTTCACTAGCGGCATATGATTATGTTATTTGGGGTCAAGAGTTGCTATGAAATTTTTAATCCTATCTCCCCTACCTCCCATAGAAGATTGTTGCAATCTTTTAAGGAGGCTACCTTTATAACACATATATATAAACCTAAGAAATGTTGCTCAAACTCACTATGTTTTAATTTATTTAATTTTTAAGGATTTTGAAGAGTGTCAAAAAGAATTTCTCAAAAGTTTATCAGTAAAGTCTCATGCAAGAGTTGTTGCAGCTGGACTTCCATCAAAGGTACGTACACTACTCTTTCATATATTCTGGAATTTACTGTTTATTGGGTACTTTGGGAAAGTGATTTTAGAAACAACAACAACAGGTTTCGTAACATCCATTCAAATGCCTGTAAAAAGGAAATCACTACTTTCTTAACTATTTACTAAAAGCGCATGTAATAACATGACAGACGGAACTACTAAAAGGTTTGCTACAACCGAGTGTTCACTATATTCTGGATTCATTATAGCGGGGTTGAATTGTATATACGAGTAAACTAATCACTCTTATTTCAAATTGTTTTGGACTCGACTTTGACACATAGAGTAAATAAACGTTGTAGTTGAAAGCCATTTATGCAAGGGGTTCTAGTTTTCCAGTGGTGCCATCTCTGGTCAAGAATTCGACTTCTGCCACACCCGTTTATAGGAAGGACCTATTCCTACATCCACAGATCGTAATTTTGATCTGAACCAGAGAACGATCAATCTCAAATTCAGTACTCCCAGAGGTATAATTTGTTATGGGAACAAGGAAGACTTTGTGACCCTACAGATTTAACATGCACCAGTCACCATTTACTACACGGGAAATGTTCGATCGGCTGCATTCGAACTTACGTTCTCTCAAACCTCCTTAGCGAATTCATTTTGTTCTTCTTTCTCCCCAGGGTCCAGTTGATTGCCAACCTAAACCTTATGAGTCTGAAGATGGTACTGTCCCAAAAGCTAATGGTGAGTCGCTTTACAAACTCGATTATAAACCTCAATCACCTATGAATCAATTGCTTCAATGTGACCCATCTAAAGACAGACGGTCACCCATATTCACAAGTTCTGATTCCTTTCGACCAGTGTCCTGCGCAAAATCATCCTTCATCCCATGGCCGTTGAGCTTGGCCAAACCTACATCATCAGTGGTTAAAGGGCAGTCAGAGCGAAAACAAACACTGATGCCAACGGATTTCATAACTACCTATCGATTAAGTTACTGCAGGGAGAAAATGAAGGTAATTTTTCTTTTATTTTTTTAGTATTTCATTTCGGGTAAAACTTAGCTTTGACCCTTAGTAAAGCTTGTCATAGTTTTATAACCGTCATTTAACAGCCACCCAATTTTGTGCTTACGACTACTAATGTTCAACTCACGTTGTAATTTTGAATCCAATCCAGAAGACAAGGAAACTCCTGGATTGAGTATAGGGAGACATTTGCCTTCGTGGGGTACTTTTTGATCGAACTAATCCACACAATACGTCACACGGAGAGGAAAACCACGAAATCCTCCCACGGTTAGCCTGACGGCAAGGGGATTCTAAAACATGATCCGTCTTCTATTGAGGATATTTGACGTCAGCATTGTGGTCGGTGCAAGCCGGATGCAGAATTCGTATCGACCGGCCATCATTGGGATTCGAACCCGTTCTTCTCATTGGAAGGTGAACGCTCTATATCACCTGAGCCATCACGACTCTGCCATAGATTTAACATTTTTGCCATTTTTTGTTCATAGGACATCACTACGAGGTTTGGCTCATAGAATAATTTTCCCAGACGCTTTTTGAAGTATGCCAAAGAAAAAAAATTTTCATAGTCCACGTCACACCTTTGTCATACAGCCATGGCAACAGCTCTCCATAGTCTCAGGATATTTATACAGCTGTGCAGAGGCGACCCAAAAATATACAACAATCCACTGGGGAGCTCCTGAGGAATTATGGGAACTCCTGAATTTTATAAAGTATAGATATATTTAAATATATATGTTTGTGTTACTGTGAATGACCGAAATTGGTGGTTGTTACTTCCACCGGTGAATATTGACAATCACATAGTCGCTTTTGTAAATGTCCGAAATATATACTAGGACTAGTTATAGTGCGGCTTTCAGGAGAACTCCAGACACCCGTCTCGCGTCGTGGCGGGTACTATGGTTACGAAGAAAGGTCACTTCGAATAGGGGTGTGGGGTGAATAGTTTTGTATTAATCTTAGCGTAGGTCGTCGTGAGTAAAACAATCGACACTTTCTTTCCTCCATTTCAACCCCGTCAGAAACGTGCTCTCGCTTGTTACCATAGCAGCAGACAGCCCCAGACTTTCAGTATGTCGCACTATAGGTGCCACTGCTTGGTATGCCCTACATCAATGTTTTTTTTAAGGTTCAGTTCCACATCCCGGTATACATTTGCCCGGTATGCCCTACATCAGTGTTTTTAAAGGTCAAGTGCCACTGCCCAATAGGGATTTAACCAGTATTTCGAACACTGATGTTTTTCCTAATCTATCCTCAGTAGATATTAAAATATGGAATGCATATAATAACATCAACGACTAAATTAATATGAAATCGAATATAACAAGTATTTGGGACATTCACCAAAGCGACTGTGATTGTTGACATTCACCAGTGAAAATCGACATTTTCTTGACTGTGATCCATGATAATAAACTAAAGAATTTGACAATAAAATGCTAAACTAATATGAAAAAATCATTTTTCAAACGTTCCTCTCAAATGAAATTTTTGGGCGATTTTTGAGATGAGTGGTAAAATACCCCCTTACACCCTCTGTCCACCCTAGCACAAACAGTTCTGAAGTTACAAGAGTGACACACCAACTTTTATATCATTTTGAGTTTTTTTTTTTCAGGCTCGGAAAATTTGCATCTGCTCATTTGAACAAAAACATTCTGATGTAGAGAACACTTCCAGTAAACATAACGTTCGAGAATGCTGCCCAAAGTGCTCCTCATCTGAATACATAAATTTCCTTTTATATCAGACGGAGTATCGCCGCTCCATGTCTGGAAAAAAACTGCCATCTCTCGAAGACACTCAACAATGTCCGGCTGTTTCAATCGCCGCTTCAAAAATATGCGACATTCACAAAAAACACGCGTTTGTAATGAAATAGCTGCATCTGAATACAAATTTAAAACAACTTCCAATTTCTGTGTCTTATTATAATTAGTCAGTTTTATCTTCCATTTCTA